GTTTCCGTTGTCATCGATATGACTCCCGAGCATTGTTCGAACGATCGATCCTCTGGTTTCCATGGAAAACAGGATGTTTTAAAATTCTTCCAGGCGTTCTACCGGCTAATGAACAACGTCCTGTTTTCGTAGCTACCCACCGGCGACTGCTGAACTTTCGCCGAAAAACGAACGAATGGAGCGGAGGAAAAAACGTGAACGGATAAAGGAAAACCATGGGAATGGTAAAGGAAACGATTCGACCTCACAAATTTTCAAGTAAACGGTCCACGTACGATTTCTTCTCGGTAGATAATCTACAGTTTTAACTAATGGAAATATTCTCTTCTCTTTTCTGATCATATAAACCGAACGATTAACACTGCCATGAAAACCCTCGGCTGCCTTGTTAGATTTTCCTCTGAATTCAAACACATCGACACCCTCAGAATATTATACTTCAGTTTTGTTCTTCCACACCTGGAATACGTATCAACCATCTGGTTCCCACGTCACGATACCCATAAAAAACGACTAGAGGCTGTACAGCACAAATTTCTTCGGTAGGCTGCCTATAAACACGGTCAACCGATGTCCACCACCAATCATGACTAAACTGATATTATGCGTTCATTAAATATTACTACCTTAGAGCATAGAAATATTGTCCTTGATTTAACCTATTTCCATAAAATACTCAACGGACAAATATACTGTCCGAATATACTTGAGAGTATATTCTCCAACATTCACACCGTTACTATATACCTCTAGATTTGATCATACCGATATCGTCACCAGATTATCAAACTTAGCTAATAAATTCTCTAACACCATAAATTTCTTTGGCGATGTAAACAACTTATAGAAACGATGGGGGCAACCCGTTTATAAATAAATAAATAAATATTCGACGCTAGCGGTAAGCGATAGATATATCAAAGATCAATATGTATTCGATGCTTGAAACTTGTCGGTTCGGTTCTTTCCGTTCGTCCACTGAAACTTTCGGCCGAGAGTTCACCTCGATTGGGCTCGACCACTCGTCCAACTTTCCACCGAGTTCGATTGGTCGATACATTATTGAGGTTCGATTCATGATTTCTTTAGGAGGCCGGCAAACAACATGCCCGCGAAAGTAATCTCCCTCGAACAAGAAACCACCTCCCGTTCGTTCGTCCGACCCATCCATTCCTCGTCCAAATGGCCGACAAGACAGAAAAAATCCCTCGTTCGGCTGTTCTGCTTTCGGAAAGTGCGTTTCCATTACCTATTCCGGAGCTATGTTCTGGATAAGAGTAAGTTACGCGAGCGATACATTTTTCGCCGCGCGATAAATTATTCGCGAGGCTGTCGGACTCGGGGGAAAAAGGCACGATTCACCGTGCACGAGGACAGTGTTGTTAAACCGCGGTAAATTTTGCCCGGGAACGAATTCCCATTTCTGACTCTCCCACTCGCCCACTCTCTCTCTACTTTCGAAAGTATCTTCCGACGTATAAAATAGAGTCTTACCGGGCATGCACCGATTCAATTTTGACGTCGAGCCACGTCGAGCCACGTCGAGAAGAGAGGTCTTTTCAATTTTCCGAAATAGACTATACTTGGAGGAAAGCTGCGCGAGATTTTTTGCGGGGAAAGCTATTTCCCGGACGATGGCTGGACGACGCAACGAGGGGAAAGGAACGGGGGACAGATCGGAGAACACGAGAACCTGAGGACGTGCAACGTGAAACACGAAACCAACCGGTCGCCGGATTACGTTCGGGTTACGTCTACCGGTCACCGTAAGGAGGGCTTCTTCAACTTCCCATCGAATCTGTTAACGAGGAAACAGGAGCAGCTCAGTTTCGCGATAAAATTTCGCAACGGTTGTCTCGCTCCACGCGCACTTCTTCGTCCGTGTTTCACGCCTAATTTTCTCCGCGCGTTTTTTGCGAATCTGTCCTCGCCAGTGGTGTTTTACGGCAAAGAGAGACAAGGCTCACTCGCCGTCGCTTTTCGGGATGAATATTTCAGTCTTACGAGGGGCCGCCGATGGAAGTTCGAGGTTCGAGCGTCGTTCTTCTCCGGCGGACAACCGGCAAGGTAATCGTGCTAACGGCAACTGTTTGAACCTCGGCTTACTCGGTCGAACCGCGTCCATTCCTTATTGCGTCGACCAAGTCTCAAAGTAATTGCAGATAAGAAGCTTAACTGGGGACTCGCTCGACGTCGAGTATCGACTCTGAGGCATTAGACGCCATTGAACCGCGCAAAAGAAGAAGAAAAAAGGGTGAACGCGGTGCCTGATGGCGAAGATCTGTTAACATCGAAGACAGCCACGGAACAGTCGTATCTTCGGAAGACATTATTGAAAGAAAAGACATTATTCCCCTTTAAGGGTTCAGCGCATCCGGTCTCTATATGGGACAGGGGAGAAATGCGCAATCTTTTATAAGAAGCTTAAACGCGATAGAACGCTGATTCCAGCCATTTCCCTCGGAAACAGGCTTTTAAGGTGCCTGCTGAGAATCACGAGGTGCGTAAACGGGCGTGAGTGTATCGTGTTCGGAAACTAGTGAAAAGTTTCGAGAGGTACCGACGAAGTAGGCGGTCTCGTTGGTCGAGAGCTAATAACGTTCCCGACGAATCAATAGATAAATTACCAGGTAGATATCGAAAACGATACGTCACGCGTATACGGCACGGCGGAATAGATGGACCGATAGACGGGGAACAGGACTGAATGGAAAGCGGATGAGATGGAATTAATTTCTCCGTAATCGGCGATTAGACGTCCCCAAAGCTTTCCGAAGGTATAGGATGGGCAGTACCCTGTCAAAATCTAAACTAAATCCTAATCGGATTAACGCTCACCGACTCGACGCCTCAGCAGCTTTCGTTTCCAAGTTTCGAACGAGGCCGACCTCCTCCGAGCGGTGAGTATGGCTTCTGCAGTTCCGCCAAAGAACCCGAGGGATTTCGCGACTCACGGTTTCAATATGCACCGCAAGAACGAACCCGCTCGATATTAACTTTCGAGAATAACTTCGCCTAGCGAGCGACAGCTACGTAAGAGGAGGGGTGTTTTCGATTCCTCGTGAAATATACCGACTGTCATTACGAACGAATATTTTCCTCTGAATAATGCGAAAAGTATCGTGCAACCGTCACGAGAGAGCGATTTAATGTCCGTCAGGGGACCAAGCTCTATCGGGAAACGTTTCGATTTGTATCGGAACCTAACGCGCGTGTGGCCGATGCCTTCTTCGTTGTTCCTTCCACATAAATAGGTTCTCTTAGTTTCTTTCACGCTCTTTTCATCGGCGTATGGGGCAGTTCGAGATTAACCTAAGGTACGGATCTTGTCCGGCATTCGTGCGCATCGTAGTGTGAAACGAATCATCTCGACGCGGCTCGCAAACCACATACCTATATCGTCTCTTCGATTACGTGCCGTTCACGAACTTGTCACCTTCCTATTTCGCATCGGTATAGGTTTCGAAATTTTGTAACTCGGTCGTCCACGTGACGAAAATCGGAAGGGATTAGTTCGTTTCGCAAAGTTTACGTATGATCGATCGCGAGTCTTCTCACAGCTGAATGATCGACTGGTTTAATTTTCCGATACTCTCGTTCGCGCGGTCAGTTAAAACTTAATTAAGGGAGATTTCTCGAATTCTTCGGCGACGAGACGGTCCCCGGCGAAACTGGCAAAGAATCGCAAGGGGAACGACTCGTCGACACTTAAAGCAGCGCGAGGGGACACAGTGGACTCGGCACGAGCTTCCTTTGTTCTCGTTCCACGTCTCGGCAGATTTTCGGTACGTCTTAAAGTTTCTCCAAGTACTCCTTGGAGCGGAATCGACAGTCGGCGCTTAACTCAGTTTAATAGTCGATCGATGAGTAAATTGGGTTAGGGGTTTCCTGAAAGGACTTTGGGCTTCTGCCCGGTTTCGAGGCACGAAGCAGCAGCGGGCGCGTTCACCTTAAAGACCGACCGCGATACCAGTTCGATTCTATTAGGAGACAAGAGCCAACGCGTCCTCTGGGCCTGTCTTGGACTTACGGCAAAGTATCGAGAAGCCTGCCAGGAGTTTCGGTGCTCGCGTCGAAATCCGATACACATGATTTTCGCGAGTTACGCTTCGACGGACGACGGCTTTGTTCTTTTCACGTTTAATCGGCCAATTATTTCTTCGCTGACTCCGCGCTTTTTACCGTGAAAATCAGGTGTCACGGCAGCAAAAGCGCCTTTTGAAATCGTAGACGAACGCTACACCGGCACTCGGGAAAAAAGGACGATCGGGGCAAAGACCTCTGTGCTACGCCATGTAATTCGCGTTGTTACGATCCTTTGGCATTGTTTCGTCTACGGCGTGGCACGGGCCCGGCGACGTACTCCGATTCCGCTATCGATCGTTGATTTGTCGGATCCTGAGTCGAGTTCGAGCCATATCGAAGTCACTCGGAAGTTGATCAACGTTCGTCGACGAATAAAGTTTCGGTGTAATTATCCGCCTGGTATCCGAGCAGACGATCGAACTAGTCGGTGGTCAGCGAATCCCCGTGCAAACTAATCGACCGCAAAATCGCGTGGCTCTCGAGACACAATTCACCGTGAATTCGAGCCTTCGATCAACGATCTTCCGTCAAACTGACCACCGTTCGTCCACTACGGTCCCGTCGTGCTTCTGATTTCCGGCAATTCATCCAAACATTGCAATTTCCAGAAACTCCGATGAGTTTCCAAGTAGTTTCGCGCGTAACTGGCCAAGTCCGTCGAGTTTTGGAGGAAATTGGGCGGCCTTACCGAGACTGTCTTTTTAAATTTCAATGGTTACGAGACAGAGTTTCGGAATCGCTTCCATTTTCTCCGAGTTTTCGAGCGGTGACGCGATCAAAGCTCGACCGAGTCCACATTCGGACGCGACTAAATTGCGACTAAATTGCGACGGGAAAGTTCGCGATAGCTTTTTCGACGGTAATGGGCACGAAATTGAAAGGAACAGGGATACGATACCGATTGGTGAACTTACCGATAACCGTGAAGTTGACCTTGAGATTTCTGGTCGGTGAGTTACGAAAATCGACTCTGCAACGATAGACTCCCTCGTCGGTTTCCCGCAGATCTCGAATCGTCAGCTGGGCGGGCGGGCTTGCTTTGAACGAGGCTCTGTCTCCCCAGAAATGCGAGGCGCTCCACAACTTCGCCTTGCCGAACTGTCGATTTCTCGCGTCGTAGCTGAAAGAAAACGGACAGAACGTAAACGGATCGATCATCCTACTTCAACTGCACGTTCCCTGGCGCCCGAACTGTTTCGAGGGACGGAGATTAATTTCGAGAGGAGCGAAAATCTGAAATGGACGAACGATGAGAGGATGATGCACCGTTCGAGCACACGCCCGCATAAAGCATACGTCGCGTACCTATTCTATATCGTTCGTGCCGTCCTTACGTAACCCGGTTCTCCAATTTTTCACTCAACTTTCGCAATTCGTCATAGTCGGAGGACCGTACGAAAGGAGCGGGAGGCGGGGTAGTTTGTTCGCTCTCCGAGTCTCGGAGCTTGAAACTCAATACAGACCGACGGAAGTGCACTCGACCGAGAGAGTCAGATAACCTTTTACTTCGGAGATCGGGCTCTCCGAGATGGCATTAGAAGATGTATCAGACTTGGGTCTCGAATGCCCCGAAGGAAGGATCCGTTCTCGTCGTCCCACCATCGATGACACGAACAACTTCATAACTACCTCCCGAACGGACAAACATTATACAGGTACTACCTACATATTCGAGGATTCCTCTGGACGACGATCCCGCTCGCTTTACATTTCAAACGGTTACGAATTTTCTTTCGCCTCTCGAGTTTCGCGTTTCGAGTTTTCGAGTATTAGCCTCGGAAGTGTCCAAGTTTCCGTGTCGGCCGGTCAATTATCAAGTGGAATAGCAAGCGAACGAGTTCGTAAGTCTAATCGAGCGACGAAGTTCAGGCGAGCTCCAGCGATAAGACGTCGCACGGTCGATCAACCAAAGGGTCCGGGGAACGTTTGCTCGACGAACCAAGTTTCGACGGTCGTGCGCAGTCTTATTCGTTCGTTGCAGTTTGTTGGCGGTCGTAAGACAAATTGGATTGGTTTTTAACGAGCCCGATGAGTCGTGAGAGTTTCACGAGTGGTACGAATCCGATCTCGACGGACCCATCGAGCCACACTGTGCCGTCCTCGCCTCTCCAAGGCAGCAATCGCCCTCCCCCCTCAGTCCTCGTTTACTTTCCGCGTCGGCTAATGTACGAGAAGTTAAAGAGGCATCGAGATCGCGCGACTTCTGGAAAAACTCTTAATTACCGTCACGTTTTTCATCGCGTAACCTCGTCGTCGGATAAAATCTGTACAAATGGTACTCGACGGGTGAACAAAAATAACAGATTACGCGCCTGCGCACAAGCGACATCGAACAATTCATCCTCGAACGCTAATCCGGCTGAATCGAAGCGAAGCTTACGCTCACGCTCGTGTTTTCTGATCCAATTTTCGGGGATCCCTCTAATGAAAAGCAGGCGTGTCGTTGCACGCCGGTCTCTTTCGTCGGGCGTAGGAAGAAGAGCGATAAAAAGCAACGGGAAAAGAAGACGTCCAGTCGTGTACAGAGGTACACGCGAGAGAACACGGATGATTGGAACGAAAAGAAGGATGAATCGACGCGAGTCGCGATTAGGACGAGGCGACAGGTAATTGGTTTCACCCTGGTTCTCTACCATGGACGTTTTCCGATCGCTACGCGTACCGATCTGCGGGAAAAACTCCGTAATGTCCGAGATAAATGCGATTTACGAGTCCTAAGGGAGAAACGATGGTCGTTCTGATCGTCCCGGGACTGGAGCTTGTCGACAGCGACTGGCAGACGAGCATTTAAAGGCCGGGGAATAACTGCGAGCAGGCGAAAAATGGGACGAATGGCCGACGATATCGGCTGGAAAAAGAAAAGAAAATAAAGAGGTAGGTAACTAGGGGAATGGGTAGCCGATGATAGAATAGCTGCGGTTGAAGGTGTCTCTGCTTGGGTGAGCGGTGGAAAAGTGCAGATGGAAGTGAATGGTCTCTAAACAAATTAAAATAATTGCCGCGACTCGTCGGAAGATCTCGTCGGTTACACGAGGTAGAAGAACGTTTCCCATGAATACGCTAGTGTCGGTAAAACGAGTGTTCCGCGGCGATGGTGGAAACCCGAAGAGGGACGCGCAGAGGGTCCAGGAGGCAGGGCCACGAAGGGAACCAACCACTCTCGGGACTCTTAAAAGGAGCTTAACTTCGCGCATAAAATTAAGGCATTGTAATTGCAGACGGCGTCGCCACTGCGGCAGCACATTTCTCTCTTTTCCTTCTGTCGTTTTGTCTTCCCAACCCCCGCCCCGCCTCCGTCACCGTTCAACATTTCCCCAGCCTGCCGCCGCCGCCACCAGCCGACCCACCCCCGTAACTCTTTTTCTTCGTTCCAGTCGACCGGAAAATATAATTCGCGCCAGTCAACTTTCGTTCATCGTGCCGGACGATAAAGTGATTATCAATTACGATTAGACGCGAGCCGAAAAGACTGTTTCGCGAGAACGGCGAACCATTTCGAACAAGAGGATCTCAGCAAACGAATGGAACCACGACGGTCGCTCAATTCAATTGCGATAAAATGATTTTCAACGAGTCCAGAGAACCGTTTACACGCTGCCTACGTTGAAAAGTAAAGCAACGAAAAAGTTTCTCGAGTTTTCGGTAATCGGAACGATACTTCAATTTCGTAATGGCGATGGCGAAAAGGAAACGGTATGCCGAAGGGCTATCGGCTCTTCAGAAAAATTGAATTAATCTCTTAATTAAAACGATTTCGGCACGGTTCTTAATTAACGCTCCCGGTCCACGAACTACAGCGAGGAACTTTTCCGCGCGAACGTAAAATCCTGGTCCGCATGGAAATCGGAAGAAGAGCAGAGCAGAGCAGAACAGCAGCAGCAGTAGCAACGGCAGCACTCTCATTGACTCGCGCTCTTGATTCGCGCGGGTTGCCGGTTACGGTTCAACGTCGATTTCCGTATCCGTCGGTTTCGATCGGTCGAAATCGTTGGTCCTCGATGCCGCGGCGCGGCATCAACCCCTATCGTTCCTAGCTGCCACTTTCCTCCGTTTCACCACCGCCTCCCCTCCCCTATCTACACACCCACCGCATCCACCTCTCTATTCAAATATCACCGTGAAACCGCGCCCTGGCATTCTTCAAAATGGGATTCATGCCGTCGCATAATAGGACAGAGATATCAATCCGATCGGTGAATATAATATCCGATTACACGGCCGTCGATGGCATCCACCGCGGTGACGTTCTCTTTGCCTCCGTCGGGGAACATTAAATATCTCCCGGCCGACTCCCCTTCGCACCCTCGGATGTATCCACATCGTGATGCGCGAACACCTGCTAGTGACAGATTCTCCTTTTTTCGCTCTCGTCGTAAAACCACTTTTCTCGTCGATAAACCAGGGTGTAACGACGGCACGTGAAACGCGGCCGGGACGATGTCGAATCAAGTTACGAACGGCTCGAAACGAATCGCAACGAAGAGATTACTTTTCGATCGCGCTGAAACGAACAAAGAGGAGTCTTCTGTTTTTTTTTTTTTTTTTTCAACGAAATTGTAATTCATACGATGACTGCTGTAAACGGTATTCCATCGACCGATCGGGGGATCTATTTGATCCACGATTCGCTGACGAGGAGGAGCGCTTTACGGAATGGAAGAATCCGAACAAAAGAATCGAATCTGTGGGACCGTGAACGCCGCGAGGGAGAGATAGAGAGGAGTGAGAGAGGGAGAGAGAGTGATCAGGGACGTGGAAGAAAGGGAGGGTGACAAAAGAGCGCGCCGCTCGGAAATGGGTGGTGGTGATTGGCGAAGTCCACAATGCGCTCGTTCCGCGGCAACCCCAGAAGACGGATGATCGTTCCGTATCGAGTATTTCTTCGTTCGCGGTTTTCATCTCTAAGCTCTTTCGATTTCAATGGGATCATTTTCATAGCCTCGTGATAGTTCATTCCTCATTCGATGGGTATTCTTCTTCGAGCGAGCTCCCGTGGAGCCACGGTTGATCGGAGCTTGAAATTTAATTTATTCGATTTACGGGGAATAAAAATTGGAAAAAAAGTTACAAGTTTCTACCGCGAACGAATTTTCAATTAAGATCGTTGATTTTTTGCTCGTGGAAACCGAAGGATTAGCCACGCGATCGAAGGGTATCTCGTTTGGTCGATAACGATGTCGGTGTTATATCGGGAACGTGGAAGAGATCCAGAGAAGATTCGGATTCGGATCCTTTGGAGATTACAGGGGTCGTGCCAGACAATCGGCGGGTGTATTTACGACACCGAGGAATGCGAATACCTACGCCTGACAGAATTATTATATTAAAGCGAACGATGCAGAGCGGAGATTCACCAAGCGCATTGTTCTCGTTTCTCGAAATTATCGAAGACCTGGTTGGCTTGCAAAGACCGCGTATTTTCACGAAACAGTTACTTACGCTTTTCACTGGACCGTCTTCGTGTTATTCGGAGAAGAAACGCTGCCGCGATTTGAAGGGTCGAAAGGGAACAGGAAATATCGTATATCGACGGGATTTCGCGGTTCGTTTCGTCGACGTTGGACGCGAGGCGCGAAAATCAGCTCGTCGAATACGCTCGATTTAGTGGGAAAAAGCCAGAGTTTGCCAGTGACGAGGGGGCGCCTGTATGTATATACGTATATGTATATGTATGTAGGTACGTACAGTACCGGAAGAAGAACTCGACGCATCGTCCCATCGACGAATTCGAATGTTCCCCGAAGAGGGGTAGAGTAAGCGAAGGCTGGCTTCGCGTATAAATGGATGACGAGAACAAAAGGAACGTCCTGGTGACATGCTCGACATTTTCATACAGTTCAGTTGCACGTTTACGTCGTATAAATACGAACTCGCGGCTATACACGACAATAAACTTCGTCGGACGGGAGTTCATGTCCGGGCAGCGATCCTCCGTGTTTGCGCGGATGCAAATAAAGCATGAGCAGATAAAAGGTTTCGCTGTCCGCGACGCGACGCAGTGTCGAGCCGTGTTTCGTTGCTCGTTTTTCCTCCGCCCTTCTTTTCTTTCCGACAAACACGACTAACGGCGATTGGTATTGCCATGTTAGTGCTTAATCCTATGATATACGTCGCGCCTCG